CCCCCCCATCCACACTCTCAGTAAGGGTTTCTCACCGTTGCCTCTTGGGGCCTGTTGACCCTTTGTCGTGGGGGCGACCCTGCGCCCGGTGGAATGTTCGTCAGCACCCTTGGCCTCCATCCTTAGCTGCCAGGAGCACCTCCCCCAACCGACAATGTCTCCAAACCTTGCTCACTCTCCTCTGTGTGGCCAAATTACCGCAGGGGAAATCGCTGCCTAACCTTAAACTTGGGAACAGATGCTGCAGGCATGACTCAGCCCTCCTATGGTGACAGGTGAGGAGGATGCTGCTGACTGGGAGCACTCTGCCTGGAGTTATGTGAACGGAAGAGCTGAGAGAGAGAAGCTTGGGGAAAAGAATGCCAGTGAACGGAGTACTGGGTAAGGTATTCATTCACATCACTACAATTTATAAAGTATCTGTTATAGGACAAGCCTCGTTTGTCCTAGATTTAGGAGTGACAAGCCAAGGTACTGGTTGTCCTAGATTTAGGAGTGAATTTAGAAGACAATAGAAAAATTGGAAAAGTTGAGTCAAAGAAGTAATGGAGGTGGGAGGACGCCAATGGGCCGGAGAAAGCAGGAAGGCAGGGACTAATGCCAGCAACTCACAACATTTTCACCTGATGTTCCTACAGAGCCCATCAATATTCATATTTGCTGCATACGTGAGTAAAATGTTTATGACCTGATGACAATTTAGGTAGATTTAAAGATGTGCTAGACATCGTCTACTGACACTGGGCCACCATTTCTACCACCTTCTACGTCCCGGTCCTCCTGTGTTGCCAGGCTGGGATCCTAAAAACAGCACTTCCTAGGTTTATACCATTTACGTTCTGCCAATGTCACACACTTGAATGAGGTTTGGAAGGAAAGGAGAGAAGGGTTATAAAAGAGCACTTTTGAGGACAGGGCAAGCGAGAGCAGTTTCTGGGGTAGACGTGAGTTGGGAGCCTGTGAGTTCCATGTTCTTGTATATTCACTGCCTCTGGGTGAGGGTCGCCCTGATGTGACACTGGGAGTTTCCTCACTTCTGGGTACCGAGGGGTTTCTGATATCCGGGTCAGGAAAGTGGTGCTATGCAGCCTTGAAACCGAAAGCCCGGCCCTCACTCTCTCACTTCCACTTCTCCAGGCCTTTCCGTGACATGTAAGTGCAGTGGTCCCTCGGTTTTCGAATGTGATCCGTTCCGGAAGACCCTTCACATTCTGAAATGTTGGAAAACCGAGGGATCAGCAGCCGACAGCTGGGCCTCAGGATCCTGCCCTCAGCGGAAGCCGTGTGGCATGTTCGACTTCCGAGGCGTGTTCGAGAACCGAAGCGTTTACTTCCAGGTTTATGGTGTTCGTAAACCAAAATGATCGCCTAAGAAGATGTTTGA